CCAGCGCGCGAACATGAGGTTCAACCCCGTCATCCAAGCGGCCATCGACCTCACGTCGGGGGCCCTCGGGGGCACCGCGTGTGTCCTGACCGGGCAGCCCTTCGACACCGTGAAAGTGAAGATGCAGACGTTCCCCGGCCTGTACCAGGGCTTCGCCGACTGCTGCCGCCAGACCTACGCGCAGGTGGGCCTGCGCGGCTTCTACAAGGGCACCGGCCCCGCGCTCATGGCCTACGTCGCCGAGAACTCCGTCCTCTTCATGTGCTACGGCTTCTGCCAGCAGTTTGTGAAGAAAATGGTGGGACTGGACAAGCAGGCCAAGCTGAGTGACCTGCAGACCGCCACCGCCGGCTCCATGGCGTCCGCGTTCGCGGCGCTGGCCCTGTGCCCCACGGAGCTGGTCAAGTGCCGGCTGCAGGCCATGCACGAACTGGAGAAGTCAGGGAAGATCGTCCAGAGCCACACCACAGTGTGGTCCGTGGTGAAGGGCATCCTGATGAAGGACGGCCCCTGGGGCTTCTATCACGGCTTCTCCAGCACGCTCCTGCAAGAAGTGCCGGGCTATTTCTTCTTCTTCGGCGGCTATGAGCTGAGCCGAACGCTCTTGGCCTCGGGGAGATCCAAAGATGAACTGGGGCCCGCCCATTTGATGTTAAGCGGTGGAATTGCGGGAATTTGCCTCTGGCTTGTCATATTCCCCGTGGATTGTATCAAATCCAGAATCCAGGTTCTTTCCATGCATGGCAAACAGGCGGGGTTCGTGGGGACTCTTGTCAGCATTGTGGAACGTGAGGGGATAGCAGCCTTATATTCTGGACTGACAGCTACGATGATCCGAGCGCTACCTGCCAATGGGTCACTGTTTTTGGTTTATGAATACAGCAGGAGGAGGCTGATGAGCCAGCTGGAAGCATACTGAAGTGTCTTGGTGACCCTGGATCCACATGTACACACCTTTGAGGACTGTGGTTTATCGCAGGTTTTCATGGAGTGCTGGACTAAAGTAAGACTGTTTTTTTTTACTTCATGGGAGTTTTGTTTTTATCTTCTGCTACCCTATACCTTAAACTTTGTGGAAGAACCTCTGTTTTGCATCGTATAATTTCTGCCCATAATTGTATTGAAATAGAAAAGTTGCTGCTTTTGTGTTTTGTGGGATATACAGAGTGAGTGGGTGGCCCTGGCTACCTAATTTGAAAGGCCAAAGATAGTTATATTACAGTCTTTTCATACACCTATGAATGTACGTACAATTTAGTTGGTTATGTGTTGTGAGTGAAACACAGTTTGGTTCCCTGTTTAATGTCATAGCACCAGAAAAACCGCGTTAACTATGTTTCATGAAGATGGTTATAAATGACTTATTCAAGATGTAGGTTCTCTTTAAAACTGTACACTGTACTAGGCAATTAAAGTTTTTAAAAAAGTTTTTGTGTGGTAATTGAAAACCAAAATACACATCTAGATTTTTAAGAAGAGGGTATACTGCTGTGTGTTCCACGTTCTTGAGTTGAAGTCCCAGAGTTGGTATCCTGGAGTTTTCTAAGATGCTCTGCTCTTAAAATAGAGTCAACCGTTTTCAAAGTGGGATCATATTCCACACTCTTAGCTGTGGCCCAGAGTGTCAGGCCTTTGGGAAGTAGCATAGCCTTCAACTATATCAACTTCCCTTCTTCTCTCCCAAAGGGCTTCTCCTCTGTGGGGCTTAAGATTGAGGAAGGAGTTGTGCTGTGATGCTTTGATGAAGACCAATGTAGCTAACAACAGTTCTTAGCTCCTAGTTTCTGGGTCTAGGATTCCAGGGGTGTTATCTGGGCCCATTTAGGGGTTGTTGATCCACTTTGGATTATTTACTCTCTGCCTCCACCGGTCAGAAACCCTTCCAGGGAACAGAGAGTGCCAAAGCCAAGAAAAGCTTCTGTTCCCTGTTTTGTGTTCAAATGACAATACTTGTGGATGAAGTCCTCTCCTCTCAGCCAGAACTAGACAGAATCTAGTGTTTGCACTCCACTGTGAGGAATATTAAGGCTGGCCCATCCTGAAGTTTACCTCAAGGTCTGTAACTCCTCATCATGCTTGTATAGTGTTGGAACCTTCTAAATTTGGTACTGACCCTCAGTGAATTTTAATGAAAACACTGTATGGAGTGTGACTTTATAAAGCAATGAAACATAAGAAATGCAATTTTATTAAACTATACCACATTTATGTATATATGCACACACAAAAACCATAGTTCATCTGATCCTAGAAATCTGGTGATGTGTACCATGTGGCCGTATGGTAAGATAGTTATTCTTGTCACCATTAAAATAAGCCTATCATTCCTTGCTGGTCCAAGACCAGCAGAATCTTCAGTAAGAAGTGTCCTTAAGCAGCTTGTAAAGCTAAAAGCCAGCAGGCTACCAGTCTTAATAATAGTCCACACCATGTATGTGTATTACTTGCTGTCAGTAGACCATAAATCTTTGTAAAATCTCTAGTTTCCTTTAGCTTTTTCTATCAGTGAAGCCTCTGTTAAATTCATGGTTTGATATTTGGGTACAATATGTACCATTTAAGATCTGTATTCCAGAAAGATAGTAATTTGAAATATTGTGTTTAAAGAAATTTGAGTGTTCTATCATTACATTATTTACCTAAATAAAAATATTTATTTAATTCACATCACTTAAAATGTACTATATTGACCTCTAGATATTCAGACATTAATACTATCTGTGTTCTGTTCTCAAAAACTTTTCTTTCTTCTTTCCTTCCTTCCTTCCTTCCTTCCTTCCTTCCTTCCTTCCTTCCTTTCTTTCTTTCTTTCTTTCCTTCTTTCTTTCTTTCTTCCTTTTGCTAATAACTCCCCTTCCACACCCTCCTGCCTATAAAAACCTTCCATTTTGTGCACCCCTCTGAGCATCCTTCTAGTTGCTAGATAGGATGCTGCCCTATTCATGAATCGCTTAATAAAGCCAATTATATCTTCAAATTTACTCAGTTGAATTTTGTTTTTTTAACATACCACATCCATCACCTTTTTTTATTGTGTTCCTAGAGGCCCAATGCACAACATTCATGCAAGGGGCTCAGCCCCCACTGCCACGGCAGCTGGGGGCCTTTACCTTGGCCCCTGCCCACCATTGCGGGGGCCTCTGCTGCCTTTCCCTTGGCTCTCACCACTGCAGTTTCATCGCTTTTATTATTATGGATAACTAGTGGCCCGGTGCACAAATTTGTGCACATTGAAAGTGAATTAACTAGAAGAAATATTTTAATATTGCTGTTTGCCCCGCCCCCCCCCAATTGCCATCCCCTCCCTCTGCCTGCTGCCACCTGCCTTGGCTGGCCTGGCACCGCCCGTTCGCTAGCCCCACCCTCCGCTGACTGGTTGTTCTGCCATTTGGTCAATATGCATATTACCCTTTTATTATATAGGATTGGCATATAATATTCACTTATTTGTTATTTTTGTGTGGTGAGATGGTATTTATTTCTAAGATTTAAATTAGTCAAATCCATTTTTCTGATGCCTAGCCTTATTTTAAATTTCACTTCACTCCCACATGGCATAATTTACCCCTCAACTTTGAAAAATCTTTTTTGCTGTTATTAATCCTCACTCAAGGATATTTTTCCATTGACTTAGAGAGAGTGGAAGGGAGGGGAAGAGACACAGAGAGAAACATCACATCAGTTGGTTGCCTCACACACACACACTCGCACCAGGGCTGGGGGATAGAGCCTGCAACCCCAGGTACCGTGCTCTTGACTGAAATTGAAACTGGAACCCTCCAGTCAGCAGGCCAACGCTTCGTCCACTGAGCCAAACCAACTGGGGCAAAAAGTATTTTCTGATATTTATTCCATTATTTGGTTATAGTCAGGGCCAGATGGTCTGCATGCTACAGTGAAATTATAACTAGAAATTCATCCTCTGTCCTAGCTTTCATAGGATACCAAGGTTTAGCAGTTGTTAAGTATATGTGATATCTCAGAAAGATCAAATCTGGCAATGTACTATCCAACCTGTAATTTTCTTTAATTGCACAAGAAAATAGCTTCAAGTTGCTGAACTTGGAAGAAAAGGAGGTTCTTTTTCTTCTGGCCCAAAGCTCTAAAGAGGAGTGTTAATTATTTCTAGGAAGTTGTTGGGTACAGAAAATAGTCACAGGAGAAATTTTTACTCAAGGCCAGGAGTAGCCTTCTGTCCGTGGTTGTATTTCCAACTTGAGCACCATCTGAGCTTTGAAATCCCTATTTTCAAAGCCTGTAAGTCTCTGGTCTCTCTGATCCCATCCAGTTCCGTGTGGAATGGGCCAGAAGTCTTCTTTGAGAGACTTTTTACAAAGTAAATTATTTCAACATTTGAACTATCTAGGATCTGCCTTGTGAGCTCCACCATCCAAAGTGTTCTTGGCTCCATTCTAATGCCAGTATTTAAATACTGGCTCCTTGTCAATGGACTAGTATCTTCTTGCCAACCAATCTCTTCAAGGTTGGTGGGGGTCATCAGCACTGATTCTCTATTCATTGAACCAGGCTTAATGGCTTTTTTCAAAACCTGTTCAGAACATTTGGTGTTAGTGGTTTTACTCTGCACCTAGAGATGGAAAATTTCACAGGTAGGTGTGAGGGGGTTCTCTCTTCCCGCGGCCAGCGCAGAGAGAGAGAACGCGGGGGTTGATGAATTCTTGTGTAGAACACCATGAAAGTTTAGGGAAAATGAATAAAACAAGATTGAGACAGAAATATAGGGAAAGCTGGGCCTGGGTGTGGCGTCTGCCCTCTGATGGAGGGACATGAAGGGACAGCCAGCCAGCCAGCACCATATATATAAAAAATCTCTCTCTCTCTCTCTCTCTCTCTCTCTTTCTGTAACCGGAAGTTACGTCACATCTGGGTGGGCCTTGAGTTCCTGGCAACATAATAGGACCCGCCCCCCTTAGCACCTGGGTGGGAAAGTCAGACTGAGTGACTAGGACCACCCCCAGGGTGTGGCTCTGCCTGCGCCTTGAGTTCAGCCGACATATCTAAAAACCGCCTGAATGTGCTAGCCAGCGGCCCTCCACAGGTGGATAAGTAGTTTTGTAGAAAATTGACCTTTCTTAACAATCCTGCACATCCTGTGGGTGAAAACAATGTCCCCAGAAAGGATATTAGTTCCTCCAGGTAATGGCCTGCCTAGTGCTATTTCTGCTCCAGCCTGGGTCCTCCTCAGCTGCCTGGACTCGGCAAACATTGACTAGGGCCTCGTTCCACGTACACTGCTTGCTGACTATGTACAAAGGGCTGTCCTTATGTTTTTCTTTCAGAGAGAAGAAAGGAGAGGGAGAGAGAAACATTCATGTAGGAGAGGAACATCAATTGGTTGCCTCCTGCACACAGCCTGGCTGGAGATCAAACCCAAACCTGGGTAAGTGCCCTGATCCAGAATGGAACCAGCAGCCTTTTGGTGCAGGGGACAAAGCTCAACCACTGAGCAACACTGGCTGGGCACCTTTTCCAAATTTGTAAGATGTCTATTGATGAGTCAAAGTTCTTGATTAATGTAGTCAAAGTTTTATTACTTATTAATCCTTTATTGTATGGTCAGTGTCTTTTTAAAGACGTTTTTTCTTTGCCGAAGATCTAAACTTTATTTACCTATATTTTCCACTAAGAGCTTTAAAGGTTTTGCTTCTGTTTGTGGGTGATTTTTTTTTTGGACATTTAAGTCTTAAATCTATTTGGAGTTTATTTTTAAGACTCAATTTAATTTTTTTCTGTATGAATAACTATTTTTAATTGGACATCTCATCTTTTCTCATGGATCTGTATCATAGACTGAATGTGCCCCCCTCCTCTCCAAATTCATATATTGAAGCCCTAACCCCCAATATGATGGTGATAGGAGGTGGAGCTTTTGGGAGGTAACCAGGCCTGGCAGACATTATAGGATAGAGCTCCATGATGAGGTTGGTGCCTTTAGAAGAAGAGGAAGAAACACCAGAGTTGCTCCTCTCAGCCTTGTGAAGATACAGAGAACCCTGCAGTCTGCAAGCCAGGAAAAAGGCCCTCATCAAGAACCCAATCCGCTGGCACCTTGATCTTAGACTTCCCAGCCTCCAGAATTGTGAGGAATAAACATCTGTTGTTTAAGCCACTAGCCCAGTGATGGCGAACCTATGACACGCGTGACAGAGGTGACACGCGAACTCATTTTTTTGGTTGATTTTTCTTTGTTAAATGGCATTTAAATATATAAAATAAATATCAAAAATATAAGTCTTTGTTTTACTATGGTTGCAAATATCAAAAAATTTCTATATGTGACAGGGCACCAGAGTTAAGTTAGGGTTTTTCAAAATGCTGACACGCCGAGCTCGAACGGTTCACCATCACTGCACTAGCCTATGGTATTGTGTTAGAGTAGCCTGAGCAGACAGACAATCTGACTTGCTATCTCTCTAATATTCAAATGTTCCATATACAGTATATATGTAAGTCTTTTTGACCTATTACATTTGTCAAATTTTCTATCTGTGCACCAATACCAGACCATCTTGTTTAATATAGATTTATAACAAGTCTTAATAATTAGTAGGGCAAGTTCTTTTCTTCCTGTTCTTTTTTTCTTAAGATATTTCTTAGATGTTAATGACATTTTATTATTTCATATGAATTTTAAAGTAATGTAATGTCCTGTTATAATGTACTGGGGGAGAAGAGAATTGATAACTTAAAAAATGAATCTTTCCATTCATGAGCATCAATATGTCTTCATTAATGTAAGTCATCTTAATGTCTCTTTATAAAGCCATACAATTTCCCCATAGAGATCTTACACTTTATTACACTTGTTCCTAGGTACTTGATTTTTTTATGGTAGTAAATTGTATCTTTATTTTAAATGTCAATTTCTGTTTGTTGCTGGTTTATAAAATAAAATTATTGTGTATGTTTTTTTCAAATTCTGCAACCTTCCTTTTTTTGAATCCTCACCCAAGGACATGCTTAGAGAGAGGAAAGGGGGGTGGGGAGAGAGAGAGGAAGAGAGAGAGAGAGATAAAGAGTGTGTGTGTGTGAGAGAGAAACAGATTGACTGCCCTCCGCACAGTGCCCCGACTGGAGATCCAACGCACAACCCAGGCATGTGCCCCAACCAGGAATCAAACCGGCAACCCTTCAGTGCACAGGATGACACTCAACCAACTAACTGAGCCACTCTGGCCGGGCTGCAAACTTACTTTTTAAAAATTATAATATTTTATCTGTAGGTAACTTTGGGTTTTCTGTGCACTCCTTAATATCATCTGCAAATAATAACTTTATTTCTTCCTCTACAATCTACATAATTTGTATTTCTTTGCCTTATCATGCTGGCCAAAACCTCCAGTACAATATGAATAGTGGACATTTGTTTATGATCTCAGGAATGCTTTTAACATTTCACAATTCACTTGTTTTGTATTCAATGTTTCATACCATTTAAAGATTAAGGGAATGTCCTTCTAGTCCTAGCTTAAAAAGATTATTTCTCCCAGCATAAAGAGAA